ATATATATGAAACTAGAAATGGAAAATTATTGACGATAACATGCATGATTAAGCCACTATGTAGTATCTTCTGGATGGGAAATCACATTTTGTATGCTGTGATGATGTTTAGGAAATGAATGTAAATTAATTAATTAAAAAAATCTTTCAGGAAAAATATCTAAAACTGTTTTTCTTGAAATAAAAAAAAAAAGCATTGAAAATACCTGTCTGATGACTGCAGTAAGCTATACAGCCCCAGCTAGGTGCTACTTCATAGTATGTTCATTCTGCTCACTGAGGTTTGTGCTTAAAGTCAGACTTGTGTTCATGGATATGTACATATCAGCTGTGTTTGCTATTGAAAATATTTAGATTAATTAAGATCTTTAGCGAATCAATAAAATATGGGGAGGGAAACGCATAGAAAGCAACCATGGGAAACCAGCGACAGTGTGGGAGGAGCATGGGAGATGGCAGAAGGTGAGAGATAGGGAATCAAGGATGGGAAAGAAAAAACAAAATACACAGGAAACATGAAATGGAAAATTATTTGTTGACGATAATGTGTATGTTGATGTGCTTGATTGAGTCAATATACATTGTATTCTGGATGGAAAATCTCATTTTGTATGCTGTAATGATGTACAGTGAATGAATGTAAATAAATAAATTTAAATTAAAAAATACAAAAACAACAAACAAACAACAATAAAAAACGTTATGCAAAGATTAAAAAAAAACCAATCATGCCAAATGTTTTCTCTTCAAGGTTTAGTCTTGGGGCCAGCAGATGGCGTGGAGGTTGGACTTCCACATGACCAACTGTGGTTTGAATCCCAGACCTGGCAACTTGCTTTCTCTAATTTTGTCAAATCAAAGAATAATTCATAATAAATAAAATTAAATAATTATTTATTTAAACAAAAATAGGTTCAGTCTTAACAGCAACAATTTAATCTATAATACTGTAGATTAAAAATGACTTTTAAAAGTTCAAACCAGGTCAACAATTCATGTTAATATTCCTGAGTGTTCAGATGAATAAATGAAAATACTTCTTTTTAAAATAGAGAAGTTTTAATGATAAGAGACTACAAGCTATAATTTTCATCTCTATTATCCTGAGGTTAAAGTAGTTAGTTCAGATACTTCTTTCAAATAATATTTGTTGGTCTATTTGTTAAAAAAAAAAAAAAAAAAAAAAAAAAAAAAAGGGGAAAAAAAAAAAAAAAAAAAAAGGCTCACTAAATCTCATTCAGACACTTCTGCTATCTTTTTCCTTGGCTGCTATAGTACTATTCTGAGCTATATTATTCTTTAAATCTTCCTTCCCCACTGTAGCAGGAAAACAAATATAGGAAAATCATGTTGGAATACAATGGGAAATTGGGGCATTGAAACTAAATTAATGGTACAATTTTATGTAAAGATTAATGCCCAGTTTAATTAGGTTTCTTACCCCAATTTTATACCTCATTTAAATTTTACAGGTATGGTTAAAGGCACTAATTTACAAGTGGAGTTAATGAGCACCCTACGTATAAGGTTTTGATTTCAATAAGTACTCAAAGTTGGGCAAAGGTATTGTGGCTGTTTATACATTTTTACCTTAAATGAAAATTTACTGAAAAATATTACCTGAAGATTCTTCACTAAATTAATTGTATTCAAGGTCTCAGTTATTTATGTATTAAAGTAGCAACTTTGATAAGGAAAAAAAAAGAAACAATCACAGTTTCTTATTAGCTCACCATAAACAAGGTCAAAGAGATGAAAGGTGGCAGCTACCTACCTTTCTGAAACTTAGAAAAGGCAACTGACTTCAGGCTGCATTGATGTCCTTTACAAGTTCCAATCAGCTCACCAGCTTTCACATCCCAAAATTTGGCTGTTTGATCACCTGCTGCTGTAACCTTTCAAAAATAAGACAGCACATATAAATAATGTAACCTTTTACCAGTATTTACCCAGATCCCAATAAAATAAAAGCCACTTACAAGTTTAAATTCACCAGGGACCCAAGCTAGGTCAAAGACAGCATTCCAGTGAGCCATCCATTCTAAACAAAGAAAATGGTAAGTGTAAAATGTCTAGTTGTGTTCTGTAACAGCCATAACAAAACAAGTTTAAGTGAATGAAAAGGTCAGTGGTGGGACCAGCAGTTAGCGCAATGGCTATGTCGCTGGACTCCCACGTAGTCGAACGCGGTTCGTGTCCTGGACCCAGTGGCTTAAAACTCACGCTGGGTGCGTGTGCATGCATGCCCAAGATCCCGAGAGGAGAATGGAGGAGAGATTGCAGTGTGGCCATCCCCCCTGGGGGGTGATTTCTCGCTTTCTGTTTGTCTGTCTGTAGAGCACATGTGCCCTATGGCCAAAACCTCTCAAAAAAAAAAAAAAAAGTCATTAGTCAGCACGTTATGGTCCATGGGCCAAAAAGAACTTGTAGACTCCCGGCACACATTCTCTTCATTATCGCATATGAAAACAACCATAAGATGTCAAATTCCTTTCCATGAGTTGACTGTTAGTACATTCTCTAAAATGAAATCTTTAAGGTTTTTCTCTAACTGTTCTCCACATATCTTATTCCTTCCAAAGTAGATTATTCCCTATTTCATTACATCTTATGCTTTCCTAGCTCCAGGCCTTTGTGAATGCTTTTCCTTCCACCTAGAGTGTTCTCTCCCATCATCATTGGTCTGAATACTGAAATGTGTCATCCTTCATGATGAATTTTCCTGGCTTTCTTTACTACACAAGAGCTTTCTCTTTGACACCTGTCGTATCTTTTCTGTATTTCCATATCTTTAATAATCTTTGTCTTATTTCACTTATTTCAATACTTAATTTACTGGTTGCACATCAGCTTCTTAAGGCCAGTAGAATTTTACTTTACTATGGAAGATGCTCAATTACTATAAATATTTTAAAGTGAAGTCTTTAAGCTAAGTCCCTGGCCACATCAAGTACAAAAAAATTATACTTACTTTTAGTAAAGACATTGCCATAGTTAACAGTTCTTTAAAAATAGGCAGTTCACCAGGACCAGCAGTTTGTGTAATGGCTATGTCGCTGGACTCCCACGTATTCGACCATGGTTCAAGTCCCGGACCCGGTGGCTTAAACTCATGTCGGGCACGTGTGCCCAAGATCCCGAGAGGAGAATGGAGGAGAAGGGATTGCGGTGTAGCCATTCACCCGGGGGATGATTTCTTGCTTTCTATTTCTCTCTGTCTTTCTGGCGAGTGCATGCGCCCTATACCAAAAACCTCTCTCCCCCACACATACACACACACACACACACATGCAAAGGCACTTGACCATTTACTTTTAGCTTGGTCCTTAAAACACCTTAATCTAAAGTTAATTGAAAATGTCTTAAAATAATTTACTTCGGGTTCTATGAATTAAAAACAATTTTAAGAAGGGGGTCGAGGGAGGAGATCAGAAAAAAACACTTAAACACAACAATGGAAAGTTATCTGATGAAAATGTTGAATATGGTAGTATTTTTTACTTGATTGACATGCACTGCAAGCATGCTTTGAAAAATAATACTGAATGCTACAAGATACACAATGATTAAATATAAATTTAAAAAATGTTAAAATGAAAATTATAGGCCTAAACTTACCTTTGAAGCACTTCTTTCTGTAAGCTTGTGATTCAGTGTTATATAATCTAACGAAGCCTTCTTCATTGGCAACAGCTAGAATATGCTCCATATTGGGAGCTAAGTAAGAAATAAAGAATGAAACATCTAAAGAATAACACAAGAATTTTAAAGCTGACTCAAAACTCCCAAATTTATTTTCAGATAAGCTCTTATTCTGAAAAAGGTCAAATCAAGACTATACTTGAATAAAAAAAAGAGTGATACTGGCCCAATGGCAAATAAAGGTGCATGATGATATAGGTTAGCAGTAGGCTGAGCCTAAGTTTCCTTTTCACAGCCTTTCATCTTTCCTCTTTTAAGCAATTAAGAGTGAGGACAAGTACTTCTATCTCTGTTCATATATTCCCCAATTAATCACTGAAAAAGATATATTTAAATCAGATCAAAAGGGGCATCAACCGGACAAAACAATTGTCATGGTGGGTGAACCTTTGTAACCCTTTCCTTATATCAGTTCAAAAAAGATGGTGCTAAAACCATCCTATGCTTTAGAGGAAATATACAATTATGCTGATTATGTGTAGAGATTAAGGAAAATCTATTTTATAAATCAAGGAAGAATTTTTAGAAAAATTCGAACATCTAACTTACTTTTCTTTGAAAAGGAGAGGGACCAGCAGTTAGTGTAATGGCTATGTCGCTGGACTCCAATGTAGTCAACGGCAGTTCGGACCTGGTGGCTTAAACTCACGCCGGGTGTATGTGCTTGTGTCCCCAGATCCCAAGAGGAGAACGAAGGAGAGGGGACTGTGGTGTGGCCATGCCCCCTGGGGGGTGATTTCTCGCTTTCTGTCTCTCTGGCGAAAGCACACGCCCTATAACAAAAAATGGCTCCAAAAAAAGGGGAGAAACTCCAGTATATTTTCCCTCTAAGCATGAAACAGATCATTCTACCCAAGCTTTGCCTATATAGTAATTCTCTTACCAGAAGAGAAGGTACATCCAAAAGGAGGAACTGGGACTCCTGTTTCTCCATATGAAGTGTGCTCATCATTAGAGTTGCACTGATAACCAGTTAAAAGGGACTGTAGCGGGTACTGTGAAGACCACCCTAAAACAAGACACTTTCTTGTAGAATTCCAATAGCACATCACATTCCAGTACTTTTTAACAAATGCAGAGAGAGAAAAGTATTTGTTTTTAAAAGGTTCATGTATTTGGGACCAGCAGATGGTGTGATGGTTATATCATGGGACTCCCACGTAGTCGACTATGGTTTGAGTCCTGGACCCTGGTGGTTTAAAAGTAACACCAGGTGCGTGTGCGTGCATATCCAGAATCTTGAGAGGAGAATGGAGGAGAAGGGATTACAGTGTGGCCATCTCCCCAGGGCTTTCTCTCTGTCTCTCTGGCGAGTTCATGTGCCCAGTAGCAAAAATTTCTCTCTAAAAAAAAAAAACAAACAAAAACAAAAAAATGTATTTGAGATAGATCCACTATCTATCATCCTCTAGAATATAGTTTCTGACTTTTTCTTAAAGGATCCTAATGAAATCAAAGAGCATTTCCAATTCTCTTTGAGGTATAACTTTGGACTGTATTCACTCTCTACCTAAAACAAAATAATCAAACAAACATACAAATGAAAACAAAGCTAGGGCCAGTCAGTGGCATGGTGGTTAGGATGGCTGGATCCCACATGGCCAGTGGTAGTTAAGTTCCAGAACTAGTGGTTTGAAAACCACATAGGGGCATGCTCATGCATGCCCAAAATCCAGAAAGGAGAAATGGAGGAAAGGACATTAAGGTGGCACCACTTTCCTTCTCTCTCCTCCTTCTCTCTCTTGCGAGTGCATGCACCCTCTAGCAAATTAAAAACAAAAAAACCCCAAAAAACAAAAACCAAAACATTATAGCGTCTTTACTTAAAAATGCCAATATTTACAATAATCAGAAATTATATTCTTTGCATCTATTTAAACTTATGGAAACTTGAATGCCAATTTAAATATACATAGAAGACTAAATAATCAGATTTTCATTTTAGAAAGCTTACTGGCAGCAATGTGGAGAATAAACTGGAGAGAGGGAAATGAAAAGGCCACTTGGGAGACTTGTTAGAAGATGCTGTTAGGGCTCAACCTACAGAAATGGAATGATAAGAATAGAATAGAATAGATTCAAGATAGGGAA